CGGTGCTTTAAAGGGACGGCAACCGCGTCGCTGCGTCTCATTTCGTGGTCTTCGGTCATTTCACTGGTTTTATTTTTGTGTAAATCGGTTTATTGCTTTGCTCGAGTGATTAGCATGGGGAACCTAAGAGGGGTGGGGGGGGGGAGGTAAGAGAGAGAATAAAAACAATAATAAAAAAAAAGGAGTGGAACTGTTACCAAAACAGTGAACCGACCTGTATACTTGATTCCAGCTAATCAAAATTCTAGTCGTATATCGAACGATTATCATCTTATCACCCGTTTTTTTCCTTGTGTCTGAGATTATAATGCTTTTCTTTTATTGTTTCATGTGTTTTTTAAGGACGACTGGAAAGGGATTGCACAATATGTCTGGACTGGCTATACATCAGTGTGTTGCCATCAGGGGTTCCCAAGTTACATGTACCTATGTCTGGACTGGCTATACATCAGTGTGTTGCCATCAGGGGTTCCCAAGTTACATGACTACCTTTAACACTGCGTAATACTTTCACTGTTGTTCTGTTTTATAGCTTATTTTGTTAATATTCAAAGGTTATAGATTATGGCATTTCACCCTTTTTACTCTATAATATTATCTGTGACACGATAGCTTTGAAGACCATTAAAATAATCAACATTGATAAGAATGGTGGCAATAAACTGGATGCATTGACTATTGCCAGAAAAATATTTTTGTTAACTACCGATAATTTTCATTTATGATTGTCTTTAACTTTCATTTGTTTTGTTTTTTTAATCAGCGATTGCAAATGCTGTTTACATGATAAATTTGTTAGTCATAATTATAATAGTGTTGTGATAATAATGATAAGAAGTAACTGTAACATCACTACGTGCGTGTTATCTAATATTTTAATTTGATATTACATAAGGAACCTCAATGCTAGAATGTACCCGGTTGCCCAGTGGCTGTGGTAGAATGACTTAGTTCTTGTTATAAAAACTATAGTTGTGGTTGTAGGGTAATAGTTGTGTCATGAAAGAACTTATGAATTACCTCACCGGTGTAGTTTTTTTTGTCATCTTCGCTATTATCAAGATCGCCATTATTACCGAAATTATCATTAATATTATTATTATAATTTGTATGTTGTAAGTATACATGTTATTACTAATGTCATTGTCACTATCGTATTTTTATGATTAAGTATAATTGCAAAATCATCATCTATGTTGCTTTGATGTCTACTATTATCGAAAGTTATCACAGTTAATTTTCCCTAATGGTTACGATACTACTGATATAATGTATTTCAATGACACGAAAGGTATCGGATCGGTTACAGAGTGAATGATGCTATTAGGATGTATGCGACCTTATGCCGAAGATTATTTTTATTTACAGGTGTTATTAATTGTATTTTTGATTGGGGGAATAATAAAAAAAAACTACTTGTTCATTATAAGACAGGATTAGATTTTTTTATCAAAGGTTCTTTATCGAGTAGATAGCGTCATTCTGAATTGATTAGCAATCCCATATCAGAGATTTATATATATGTGAGTGTGTATGTATACATATATATATATGTGTGTGTGTGTGTGTGTGTGTGTGTGTGTGTGTGTGTGTGTGTGTGTGTGTGTGTGTGTGTGTGTGTGTGTGTGTGTGTGTGTGTGTGTAACGTCGATTAGAACTTGCATATAAAGCAATTTAGAAGCTCCTTATTACGCAGTCGAACAGGTAAGATAATTAGAAAAAACAAATATTCGTCGATTAAACTGTTCCTTCTCCGATGTTCTCTGTCGGTATTTAAGTATTTACTATGTTAGTCCATGCTTATGTGACCTATGAAAAGTCTATTCAAGGATATTTTAGTCGTTGCATGAAAAAGTCAGTTGAGAGTTGTTGTTTTTATCAAATGGATTAGAAACTTCTTATCAGCATATTTAGGAATGTTGTATCATGTAGACTAGATTTAATCTCGTCCCAAATACATATATTGAAAGTTGTAAGTAGAATAGGAAAATTACCTGGTGGATTAGTAGATATGGATTAGGTTCATAATTTATTTTATCATGCTATTGTTTCTTATTGGGAAGATTGTGCATTGCTTACTAAGTTTACTAGAAGTGTTTTATCAGGAACTTAGAAGTTTATTTTTGGATAGATTGGTAGTTTCTTATCAGAGTACATTTGATATATCCTATAACATGCAGTAGAAATTTCTTATCAGACAAAACAGTTCTTGCAAACATATTAGTTTAATAACACATTATCAGTTCTTTATCAAGTAAATTCGGAATTTCCTATTATGCGCTTCTATACATTACGAGTATGAAGCTCACCGTTCGAGTATATCAAACTAGCTGCACAAAATACATACACATATGACCGACTGTGTTGTATGCGATACAGTGTCTACCTGTCATTGTGATGTAGCACGGTGAGAGGGAGTGCCGTTTGCCTGGTCTTGCATTGTGTGTACCGAATGCTGCAGAGGTCTTTGTATGTACGGTGTAAATGTCCGCTGGAGATGGTAACCGTGGTAGTGTATGATGATTTGTATTCTTAATGGGACGTGGTAGGGATATATTATCCTCTTGTGATGGTAGTAATGACAGCGTATAAGGATTTATATTGATAATGGGGAGTGGTAGGGGTATTGATTTTACGCGCAAGGTCATCAGTACGAAGGTTAATATAATGTTACCATGTTAATCTTGTAAAATAAAGTGAAATGAAGGATTTTTAAAGAAATAAGAAATAGATAAAAGCTTACAAGTTCCACAACGTTTTTCTTTTGTGAAAGTGCATCGTATATGTAAAAATGAAATTTGGTTTACGCATCTCCCGGTTCTTAAGGGAAATATATTATATGCCTATGAGTTAATATCAGTACATGAATGCCCTAGAAAGTATTTTTTTAGGAATGAAAATCTGTCTTCGTCTATTTATACTAGAGCGGACTTGTGAAAGTAGGAAATAACGCGCATGAACTGGTTTATGCACGTGCCTATTGTAACAATTTATCATGACTGTTTTTAATGCACTGATAGCCTAAGAAAATTTAAGGAAATCAAATTTTGTGTTTACGCAAAATCTCGGTAATATGTCATAGAGTTTAAAAGTTATTTTTCGTTTTATGTGCTAAACTGATTACCTAGTTTTTTAAAGTTATGTACACGATATTAACTATTTTACTGAAAGGCCTTCAGAGTAGGTTTGCATTATCCTGCTTTAGTCAATTCCATTCAGACGTACACACACACACACACACACACACACACACACACACACACACACACACACACACACACACACACACACACACACACACACACACACTGCTGATTATTATGAAATTGCCTTTGGAATATAGGTGATTATAAGTCTGTTGAAAGATATTTGTCTTGAAACAACTACGTGTTTATGAGACTGACTAACAAGCTCTGTTTGTTTTTTCTTCATGGTACTACAAACAAAGTGGTATCATTTTATTTGATAATGTAGAGTAATATGATATTTGCCTAGCATTTTTCCAGCACGTTTTTGTTTCTCACTCTCTGTCTGTACGCGTTTACTTTTTTTTAATCGTATTTCTTTCTCTCCCTCTCCCTCCCTCTCCTTCTCCCTCTCCCTCTCCCTATCTCTCCCTATCCCTATCCCTATCCCTATCCTTATCTCTCCTTCCCTCTCTTCATCTTCCTCTCCCTATCTCTCCCTCTCCCTCCCTCTCCTTCTCCCTCTCCCTCTCCCTCTCCCTCTCCCTCTCCCTCTCCCTATCTCTCTCTCTCCCTCTCCCTCTCCCTATCTCTCCCTCTCTTCCTCTCCCTCTCTCCCTCATGTCCTTGTCTCACTATGCTGGTACGGAATTTCACGGCATGCTCTTCCCGTACGTTTGACAAAGACCCATAGCGTAGTTTTGTCATATGCCGTATATTAAATGCTGTGAGATGGACTTCCGCTTTGTAAACAGTTGCCAGGGCGTGTGAAATAAACAGGACGAGAGAACTGTCGAGAAAAGTGTTGCGTATGTCGGAGAGAGAGAGAGAGCGAGAGAGAGAGAGAGAGAGAGAGAGAGAGAGAGAGAGAGAGAGAGAGAGAGAGAGAGAGAGAGAGGGAGAGAGAGAGAAAGAAAAACCAAAGAGGGAGAGAGAGAAAGAAAAACCAAAGAGGGAGAGAGAGAGAAAGAAAAAAACAAAGAGGGAGAGAGAGAGAAAAAAAAAGAAACCTTACAGATGTGATTAGACCATTTTGGTTAAAAGGTTAAGTCAGTCGAGATCAAGCAAACGGAAATATTAGGCATATTGTAGGAAAGGTCGATCACACGAACAAAAATATATCCGAACGACGCGGGAAAAGGTAAATAATACTTCTTCTGTGACGAAGGGTCCAGACACATTATACTCCAGACCATCCTGTGAGAAGGTAATCATCCACATACAAATAATTTATTTATGCAAACATCTATGGGGTATCCTAGTAGTGGCGTTGTAGATTGAGGCTTTGAGGAAGAGAAGAGAGAGGGGTGAGGGGGGAAGGAAGGAGAGAAAGAGAGAGAGGTAGGGGGAGGAGAGAGATAGAGTGATAGATAGATGGAGAGCGAAAGAGAGAGAGAGAAAGAGAGAGAGAGAGAGAGAGAGTGGGAGGGAGAAAGAAAGATATAGAGAGAGGGGAGAGGGAAAGGTAGAGAAAGGAGAGAAAGAGATAAAGAATACGTGTGGCATTCACAACAAATAATTGCAGAGCGACATATTTATCTTTAGACTAAAAGGTTGCAAATATGAACACATCACTATCGACGAACATAATCCATTAACCTTTGAGATCAGATTAGTAAATAAACATCCTGAGAGAGTTATCAACAGAACGTCATAAATCCTAAAAGTGTTACATCTTCCAAAAAACAGAGATATATTTTTTTACTCTGTCGCATGCATACATTTATTTTTTATTTTTTACCAGAATGTTTATTCACTAAAGTTAAAATAAAAGGGCGTACTCTCTCTCTCTCTCTCTCCCTCTTTATTTCTAAGAGCACAGTAGCATCACACGGATATGACAAGTCTGGGGTGCAGCGCAGTGCGTGAAGGTCGGCGGGTACGCCCTGTGGAGGGAAGAGACCTGAATCCTCCCGCCCTGAAGGCCGTAGGCCGGAGGCGGCCTATCTTGACTCGACCAGCGCTGGGCACCAACTCTCTCTGACTGGGTCATACTTGGGCCTTAAATACCCGTGACGTGGCGTGGGGACGCCACCTCGAGGCGTGGGTACGGGCGTGGTACGCCACGTGGCCAGCGAACAGCCACGTGGGCCTATACGTGCTTATGTACACGGTATACTCTCTCTTTTCTCTGTCTGACGCCGTGCCCTTCCCCAGGTAGCCATGGCCTCCCAGGACTGCCAAGTGTGTCTGGAGCGCTACGACGACGAGGCGCGGAAGCCCCGATGCCTCAGCTGCGGCCACACGCTCTGCACCCTCTGCCTGTCGGACATCATCGACAGAGGGGCCCTCTACTGCCCCTTCTGCAGGGTCAGTCACGTTACCCCCGTCACCAGAGCGGAGGACGTGCCGGTCAACTACACCCTGGTGAGCCTCCTGCAGGATTCCGGCCTGTCGATGGCGCCTCGCAGCTCGGAGGCCCTCCTGAGCGTGGTCAAGAACGAGGCCATCGAGAGGACGACCGGCCAGCTGGTCATCTGCAACTGCCACCTGGCGCGCCTTAAGGACCTCCAGCAGAGACTCGGCGCGCAGACGAAGCTGCAGGAGAAGCATATCCACGCCCTGCGCTCCCTGCTGGCGCGCCACGAGGAGCACCTGCGGGACCTCAATGACGCGTCCGCCCGGACGAGGGAGGCCGTGGGCGAGGGTGAGGGCTGGAAGAGGGCGCTGGAGCTTAGCCAGGCGCGGGTAAACTGCGCGTCCTCGCTGCTGGAGGTGACGGCGGTCCATCAGGAGGACGGCGCCCTCGAGGCCTCCGTGAAGGGCTGGAGCGAGAAGGCCTACGAGCTTCTGAAGACGCAGGTCGTCCAGGCTGCTGAAGAGGTGAGGCTCTCGATCTCCCGTCTGCTCTTTCTGTTAATAATTGAATTGTCGACATCATGTTTGTAAATGCTTTATCACATAAGTTATCCCTCCACCCAAGTATTGAAAAAAAAAAATACTGCATCAGGGAAGTTCACAGGGATGAGGGGGGGGGGTGATTCTGATGGCTACACTCATATTCAGATGTCTATTTGCACACATACACACATATTAATTTATCTGTTTACTTATATGTGTAAGTGTTTTATTGCAAGTCCCTCCGTCTTTTTTGTTTTTTTGAGTTTTTCTGCCTTATTACTGCACGGTTATCTAAGACTCCTTCCTTTTCCAGATGGAGAGCCTAACAAGAGTAGCTTTAGAGGCCGTCGTGGAAAGGAGTATGACCACAACGGCATCAGCTGTTACTCCTACTAAGTGTCAAGTCAGTTGCGTGACAGATTATGTTGTTTTACATGTTTATAGATCATTTTGGACAAATAACATTGCTAGATAAGAAGAGTACAGAATTGGAGCAGAACAGTATTATTGTGTCCTCAAATGAGGAAATAATAAATAGATTATATGTTATATTATGTTTTACAAACTTTATTCCGTTTGTATATATATGATTTCTTCACTGTATCTTATAATGGCACCTTAGCATGGCCCTTTCGTCATTTCATATCTTTTATCTTGTATTTTTCCTCATCGCATATACTATAGGCCATTTCAACACAAGAAATCAAACGTTCCAGAATAACTTATAAACGTTTTACCATATGGGTTTTGCCGGCATCCGCTTGCTATGAGCTATTCCGTCATATATTTATTACACGAACGTTTTATCCCACGAGCTGTGACGTCATCCAATCATCATTCAAACGTTGATCGCATGCACCGTGATACCTTCATTTGACAAACGTTTCATCGCATGCGTCGCCATGCCTTCAAATGACAAAAGTCTTATCGCATATCCCGTCATTCCTTCATCTGGCAAACGTTTTATCGTATGGGTCATCATACATTCAAATAAAAAACGTTTCATCCCATGCGCCGTCATACCTTCACACGAGAAACGTCTTATCATAAAATCTACACCGTCATCTCGTTATTACATCAATATGATGATAACTTCAACAACATTATATGGTTGTATAAGACTCCTCCTTCTCTTCTCAGATGGAGAGTCTAACCAGCGTGGCTTTTGGAACTGTCCTGGAAATGGGTATGACCACAGCAGCATCAGGTGTCACGCCTACAGAGTGTCAGGTCAGTAATGTGACGTGACATGGAGCGTGTCAGCGGTTTTTCGTTCGCTCATTGACAGTGCCATACTATTTCTGTTAACTGTCGTATCGCTATGTCCGTTAAGTTACGGTGGTTTGTGTCTACCTGGTAATTCAGGTATTGTTGATAATACCATCAGTTACTACGATGGTATTTGTATGGCATACGTTGTCTCATTCTGGAACGTATGGTTTCCATCTCATTGTACATCTCTTAAAGCAGACTTACTTTGTATTTTGGGACAAGTTACAGTCTTAAATTATATAACGAAAACGGAACTGTGACACAACGGCAGTAAGTTTTTTCATCTGTTGTTTTCAGGTTACCTACGACTCGGACAAATCTCTACATCTAAGTGAGCTTCTGAGGAAAGCGCGGGTGGTGGGAAGCGAGGTGTGGGCGGTGTTGGACGAGGATGGGCGGCCTCGATGTGCTAAGGTCAGTCAGGTGGACGGCAGGATTTGCCTCCACGCCCTCGTGGAAGGGACGCCCCCCATCTACACCCACATAGTGCCCGTAAGTTCAATATCTCGATGTGCTTTTGTCTTCTTGTTATTCTTCTCTTCCTTCTCTTATTCTTTTTCTTTCATTTCAGTTCTTTTTACTACCCGTTGCCTCCGTTTCTATTACATACGGTTCCCTCGTTTTTTTCCTCTTCCTTTTTTTCTTCCTCTTGTTCTGGCTACTCCATCTTTGCCTTTACTTCCGCCTTTCTCTTTTTTCACTTAGACTTACCGTCTTTCTTCTCATCTTCCATCTATTCCTTCCTCTCTTCTCTCTTTCTTCACTTCCTTCGCTTCCTACTATCTCCATCCTTCTTTCTCTCCCCTCCTCCTTCCACTTCTTTCTCCCTCTTGTTATCATTTCTTCTTTCTCCAAGGATTGTGCTTTCTTTCTTTTCTTTTTAATTGAAGATAAATAGAAAACATCATCGAATTGCTTTATTTACATCGACTTCAAGAATTTCCGAGAAAAGTATCATCTATTTTTATTAGGACTTGTCTTGTACAAATTCAATCCTCATTTTTAACGGTTTTAACGGTTTTCAGGATCGTCGTTTTGTGTATACCTCAAATACATTTCACTTACTATTTATGTACTTTTCCACAACCTACCAGATGTAAGCATTGCAATATCTGATGTCACAGGAGTAACACCATACCCTACCTAATCCTTATGGCAATAGTCACAGTTCATAGCACCTTTGGTTATGATATTACACTCCATTGAGAGTCACGTTGCAGAATCGTATTACTGTTTCGCATGATTTTACATCCGGTCACTAGTGTTACCTAGTATAGTGCTTATTGCAGTTCCTCGATAGATTCGTGTTCAAACCCACGTCAAAGCCAAGTGTGATTTTATAGATGAGTGCTAAGTGTGTACATTAATGCCACGTATTTCCAGTATGAAGACGTGCGAAACCTAGTGGACGAGAGCTGCATAAGGACCTTCCTGGAACTCTCCTGGGCGGGCAAAGTGCAAGGAAGGGTTACCATACGCCTCCTGAACGCCACGTGCCGGTGTCTCCAGTTCTTCTACCTGTGCTCGGGAGAACGCGGCCCTTCGTACGCCAACACCCGCCTGCTGGAGACGGAGGCCCGGGGACAGTCCGGGGAGAGGGTTTGGGGGGGAGACTACCAGAACAACGACGGCAGCGGGGGGGCGCCTCTCCCTGGCTTGACAATGGGAGAGCTTTCGTCGCAGAGCGTCACCGCGGGCCTCGTCGCCGGCTTCTGCTACAGCCACGAGCACCGGAATCCTTCGCACTTCGTCATCTACAACAACGATTGCCCCGTCCTGTACGAGGAGAGTCCGCTGGGGAGAGTGGTAGACGGCCTGGAACTCGTCAGGAGCGCTGCGAGGCTGCCGGATGTGAAGGACGCTGTCGTGAGTGATTGTGGATTAGTGCTGTCGTAGTTGTGTCACGGGGGTTAGGGAGTTAGCCCGTATTCTCTCTCTCTCTCTCTCTCTCTCTCTCTCTCTCTCTCTCTCTCTCTCTCTCTCTCTCTCTCTCTCTCTCTCTCTCTCTCTATCTCTATCTCCTTCTCTCCTTCTCTCTCTCTCATTTTCTCTCTCCATCTATCAATCTGTCTCTCTCTTTCAGTATAAACCACTGCATTTTGACTTCTAGAACTAGAATCCAGACTCCTTATCAAGGCCAAGTAAATGCTTGAGAATTCCTATGATACGTAAAACTTTTATGCACACCGAACAGTCATGCTGGCGAGATACATGCTATTTAAGAATAAATTAATAGTGGTCTTTAGAATAGACAGGAAAAAGGAGGAAAGGCATCGTAGTTCAAGTAACGAGGAACCGACGAATAAAGAGAAGACAAAAAAAAAAAAAGTTAAGATCAAAGCCAGTTTCGTCTGAGGTTACGATGACGAGGTTATGGTGCTAAAGATGAACAAAATATCTAAGAAAACGTGGGGAAGGAAATATAGCTCATAGCATACAAATTGCATGGCATTACTATGAAAATATCCCGTAATTCTTTAACATACACTTTTGAATATACAAGCTGCTTGTGTCACAATCCTCCACAACCCCGTTATTGGGATAAATAGAATATATACAACTTGATTGTAAATAGACCAAATTTAGCGTTGATGTTCTGTTACATAGTGTTATCATATATTATAGTTTTATAGTTTATTTCTATGTGTATGTGTATATGCACATCCTTTAAAAGATATTGAATTTATGTAACCAAAATAATA